AGAGAGAGAGAGAGAGAGAGAGAGAGAGAGAGAGAGAGAGAGAGAGAGAGAGAGAGAGAGAGAGACTACTGAACAGACCTGATACGTGCAAAACCAACAACTCTATGTACATCTTGAGACGTATGTGAGTGAACACATGAACGCATTCCCCCACTTCTTCTCTTATAACTACTTTACAGGACTTCTTGACATCTAAACCAAACGATTGCTTCAAAAAGCCATCAATCGCTTTTCTACGGGAGGCCAAGTTAGCTTCTCCCTCTAACAGGACAGATGGGAATTCCCAGAGTCCCGCCAGCAGCCCCTCTTCTGGTCTCTTCACCAGAAGATACCTGCCGCCAAATTGAGATCCCTCCTCAACTATCTCTACAACACTAACAGCAGAAAAATCATGTCTTTGTTTGGCCTTTGCAACCTTCATGGGATAGTCTGTGACTTGAACTGAGTCATGGTTCATGGAGAAAGAGAGTGCTTCACATTGATGAGATACAGGGCATGTGGAGCAGCTGGGAGCTGCTGAGCTGCATACTGTTGCACCAAGTTCCATGAGAGCCTGATTGAAATCTCCAGGCCTGGAAGGATCAACTAACTGAGTAGCCAGTTTCCTAAGAACAGAAATATAAGCAAGAGGAAAATTCAGAAAATGGAAAATAAATACATAGTTATTCAGATCACAGGCTCTGCTGCTAAAGCGCTGTTTGCTAAAAATTACAGAAGTATCCATATCAATTCGGATTCAGAGATATCAGTGCCCAATAGAGGAAGCCATTGAAATTAATTGGGTGATCTTGAGGCATTCATAGTGGTTAGACTAGTAAACGAACTATTTAGAGTAATTATGATAGCCTTCATTGATCGGTTTTGCATAATACATAAAAGAAAACAATAATTTCAAGTCCTTGGCCAGATTTAGTTAATTATAGTAGACTAACATGAAAACCATAACACTAAACTTAATTTCATAAAATCCAGCGTGTGGTCTTGATCATTATAAGTTTAAATATGAAACAATAAACTGCTGTTGAATGCCATCCTTCCTTGACAAATTGTACATCAGGATGTTACCTCTGAAGTGTGTGTGAGAGAGAGAGAGAGGTTATTCATAGTACCATATTTTCTTGACTGTTGTTGAATTTTTTGGGTTTGCAGATATAGCCTTCAACCTAGTAATCACTCTGACTACATTCCCGTCAACCACTGGGACTGCCTGCATGTGTAGAGTCATTCAGCTAACATAAGCGCTTCGTGGTAGGTCAATGAAAAATGCAAACGCTAACCTCCTCAAAAGCAATTGATGCAATAGCTCCAGCAGTGTAGTTTCCGATCCCTTTAACCTTCTGAAGAGAGGATGCTGTTTTTGGAAACTCACCTCCATCTTCAATGATCATTTTCGCTCCCTACAGCATGCCATACTTATACCAGTAACTTGTAAGGTCGTAAATTAAAGTGAGAACATATATCCTAGTTTCTTATTGTTCATAAACTTTAAGAATCCCTGTTCTCTAACACTACAAAAATAAGCTCACAGAATTGAAGATGCTGTAATCGAACTTATAAGTTCTGATTGCACTATCTTAAAACCTAAAAAACTATCAGAGTAAATTGAAACGTAAGCTCCATTTCTGGACCAATATACGCCAAAAAGGGCAATCTGGAAACAAAAGTCATTTGTTTTCTGGTTACTGGTAATTGGACAGACACAGGCATTAATAAGGAATAAAATAGAACATGAACTAACTTCAAATAACCAAACCACTGGAACCATGCTGTCATTTCAAGAGATGGAGGGACAGGCTCAGCCATAATTTTAGCAGGTGCTGAGCTAGTGAAGGCTGCTATTTAAAACTGCACAGTAACCTTATAACCTCAATTACACTTTACAAGAAAGAAAATGAATATCAAATATGTGTATATCATATATAAAGAATAAGCGCTGACCTCCAACAAAAAACGGGCCCGTCTGTAGTAACCCAAACCCGCCCACATCTCATTCACCTCCTGCTAAAAGAAACAGCAGAAATACAACACTCGTTTTAAATAAGACAAATAAAGCAAGTGAGTTTTTCAAATGATCCAAATAAAGACAAAGGGTTTAACATATTACATGCCTCAATAGAAGCCTGAGCAAGATGATGGATTGTGGGCCATTTTTCCATCCACCGGTTGAAGTAATCAATTACTGTCTGAACCCTGGTTTGCTGAAGCATAACCTCGGACACCCACACCGCGTAAGCCCTCCTTTCTCTCTCTTCCATGTCAGCGTCTTTCTCTCCATTGTTGATCCTTCTCCAAGGTAAGTCCCTCCGATTTTCATCGTACCATTCCAGCAGGGAAGCCCTAATTTTTGGAATTTCCTTCGCGCTGAAGCTAATATCCTCTATGTCGACTGCCCCGTCTTTCTCTTTCTCCCCGGAGTTCGGTTGCCTGCATCTCTTCATCGTGAAGGCGGCAGTCAGCGGCGGCGAGTGGCAACCCCGCGCGGGGAGAACTGCAGTGGGAAGAGGAGAGTGAATTTTTCCCGCTAAGTAATGGTTTCGAAAATGAAATTGAGACATTAATTTGAAAAATATCTATTCGTCGCGTAAAATTTCGAACTTGTTGTAATTGATAGTTGTTATTTTTTTAGTTTTTCTTAGGAAAAGATGTTAATGCAAGCACATACTTACAACCCGTTTTCTGTTTCCGAGTTCGATCCAGGTACTTCAGAGGCATCATTGCCAGTACCTCTGATTCTCAATTATATCGAAGAACCTCTTTTCAGT